TCTGGGCTGAACTACAGATCCCCACATCTAGGCAGCCTGGGGGCTTCCCTTTAAGTTCCCTGAACTGCTGCCCATTACTTCATGGAGGGCTAATACAGCTAAATTTAGAAGGATCAAGGGATTATCTGATTTGAGGCAAAAAAGGGATTTCTTTTCCCCTGCCCACAAACTGAATTCTACCTGGAAGGCTCTGCCCCTGTCCAGGTGGGGCCTTTGCACCTGCCTTTCCTTGTCCACATGCAGTGTGGTAGCTCTGTTTCTTGACACGTAGATGGGATCTTGTATCTTGGCTGGGAGTGTCTTGTGTTCTGCCTTTACCTTGTGGGTCAAAGCCCATTTGTTTCACCCTGGGAAATTCACTCAAACCAGCCTTATCGTTCAAATAAATGTACATTCCTCAAGAGCCCTTGCATGTCTTATCTCTCACTACTTACATGCCAGGTTAGTATCCTGGAGCCCCAGACTCTTTGATTAAGGCAAAGTGCCTAATTTGATTAAGGCAATGTGCCTAAGACAATGAGCCTAATTGGTTAACTATTTCCCTTCCCAAATGTAGATACATGGCTGGGTTAGAATTCTGTTTTGAAAAGACTGGGCCCTACCGAAAGGGAGGGGCTGATCTTTGTGATGGACTAAGCATCTGGCTGACCAAGTGCCCCCTGAGGTTGGGGGACAGTTAATGAGGCTCAGACAATAGGAAGCAACCAGTGAACCACGGTTAGAATCTGTGACAAGGACTGTCACTTCCGGGATGGCCCCACCTCCAGGCATTATATCCCAGCAACAAAGCTTTGACCTCAGAGGGGGCTTGCTTTCTTCCACACCCTTTCCATTTGCTTTTCTTCCCATAGATAACCTGAAGGAACAAAGTCTGTCCATAGAACATCCCTTGCTCCCCACTAGTCATACCTGAGTAATCAGAGTGTATAGTCCTCCAAAGGTCTGGCTTGAGTTGCCTATGAGAGGGGCCAGCTTCTGGCAGAAGGGCCCCCACACCCCCATGCAGGTTCACTGTGATACCTCCCCTTCTCTGGTTTGTCCCCATATCTGAGACTTAGCTGGAAACCTGCTTTCCTGGAACGTTTGAGGGGGGTTAGATTTCCAGGACAACTGCTATCCTCATGTTTTGCGGACCTGGCTTCCCTTTCTCTGGGGGGCTTCCCTCCAGGCATAGAGATACTAGAACTGGGGCTTGCTGAAGGATCCAGGTCTGTAGAGATAGACTTACCTGTGCTTCTACTTTGAGCCCTGAGAAGTGTCCTGAGTGGTTCTAGTTGCTCCCAACTCCCCAGCCCTGAATGTCCCCTCTTGGAGGTCAAAGTCAGGATGTATAGTGAAAAGAGCATGGGCTTTGGAGTCAGGTAGACCTGGGTTCAAATTCTGACTCTACCACTTTCTAACATCGTCTCCTAGCAGACTCTGAGTCTCCCCTTGGACTCAGGGTTCTGTCCCCCTCAGTTAGGGGAGGCCTTCTCTCCGCAGAGGGCTTTGTTTCCTGGTGCTGTTCCTTCATCCTGGTCTTAAAGCAATCTCAGATCTAACCCTTCCTATGATATGTGCTTGTACAATGGTACAATGATAAGCACATTTTTTTTTGGTCGTGCCGCGCGGCTTGCAGGATCTTAGTTCCCCAACCAGGGATTGAACCTGGGCCCTCGGCAGTGAAAGCGCGGAGTCCTAAACACTGGACCAGCAGGGAATTCCCAAATAAGCACTTTTGAGCATTGTTTCACCTAATTCTCAAAATGGCAGTGTGAATTATGCTTCTGATACCAATTACAATGTTTTTTACTACACCATCAAGCAGTGCTCTGACACCAGCTGGTGTCTTATAATTCAACCCAGTTCAGACATTATCTACCTGGAGATAGTGTCAGATCCCACAGATTAAGAGCTCAGTCCTACAAGACTGGCCCCCCCTCCCCACCCCCACTGCCCCAGATGCTGTCGTGAGTCCAGGTTGTCACTTGTGCTTCTGACCAGCCAGTTATAAATTGAAGGTTCCCACAGCCCCTACCTTTGGTTTGATTCATTTGCTAGAGCAGTTCCCAGAACTCAGAGAAACATTTTACTTACTAGTTGCTGGTTTATTATAAAAAGATATAACTTAGGAACAGCCAGGTGGAAGAGATGCATAGGGCAAGATACGTGGGTAGAGGTGCAGAGCTTCCATGTCTTCCCGAGTGAGACACTGTCCCCAAATCTTCATGCGTTAACCAACCTGTCAGCCCCTGTCCTTTTGAGGTTTTATGGAGGCTTCATTACATAGGCACAATTGATTAAATCATTGGCCATTAGTGATTGATCTCAATCTCCAGGCCCTCTCCCCTCCTCCCATCCTTGGAGGTCAGGGAGTGGGGCTGAAATTGACAACCCTCTAATCACTCGGTTGGTTCCTCCGAGGAAGGAGCTCCCATCTTTAGGTAACCTAGGGGTGGTCCAAAAGTCACCTCATTAACATAACAAAAGATACCTTTATGGCTCTCATCACTTAGGAAATTCCAAAGAGCTCTGTGCCAGGAACAGGACAAAGACTGAATGTATATTTCTTTCTTTTTTGTTTTTAAATCTTTATTGGAGTAGAGTTGCTTTACAATGTTGTGTTACTTTCTACTGTAAGGCAAAGTGAATTAGCTATACATATACATATATCTCCTCTTTTTTTGGATTTCCTTCCCATTTAGTCACCAGCATTGAGGGGAGTTCCCTGTGCTATACAGTAAGTTCTCATAAATTATCTATTTTATACCTAGTATCAATAGTGTATATATGTCAATCCCAATCTCCCAATTCATCCCACTACCCACCCCCCTTCCCCTTTGGTATCCATATGTTTGTTCTCTATGTCTGTGTCTCTATTTCTGCTTTGTAAATAAGATTGTCTATACCAGTTTTTTCAGATTCTGCATATAGGCGTTGATATATGATACTTGTTTTTCTCTTTCTGACTTACTTCACTCTGAATGACAGTCTCTCGGTCCATCCACATCTCTACAAATGGCACTATTCCATTCCTTTTTATGGCTGAGAAATATTCCATTGTATATATGTGCCACATCTTCTTTATCCATTCCTCTGTCGATAGACATTTAGGTTGCTTCCATGTCCTGGCTATTGTAAATAATGCTGCAATGAACAATGGGGTGCATGTGACTTTTCGAATTATGTTTTTTTCTGGGTATATACCCAGTAGTGGGATTGCTGGGTCACATGGTAGTTCTATTTTTAGTTTTTTAAGGAACCTCCTTCCTGTTCTCCCTAGTGGCTGTATCAATTTACATTCCCACCAACAGTGCAAGAGGGTTCCCTTTTCTCCACACCCTCTCCGGCATTTATTGTTTGTAGATTTTTGTGGTGATGATGGCCATTCTGACTGGTGTGAGGTGATAACTCATTGTAGTTTTGATTTGCACTTCTCTAATAATTAGTGATGTTGTGCATCTTTTCATGTGTTTGTTGGCCATCTGTATGTCCTCTTTGGAGAAATGTCTGTTTAGGTCTTCCACCCACTTTTTGATTGGGTTGTGTGTTTTTTGATATTAAGCTGCATGAGCTGTTTGTATATTTTGGAGATTAATCCTTTGTCAGTTGCCTTGTTTGCAAATATTTTCTCCCCTTCTGAGGGTTGTGTTTTCGTCTTATTTATGGTTTCCTTTGCTGTGCAAATGCTTTTAAGTTTAACTAGGTCCCATTTGGTTATTTTTGTTTTTATTCTCATTACTCTAGGAGGTGGGTCAAAAAAGATCTCCCTGAGATTTATGTCAAAGAGTGTTCTGCCTATGTTTTCCTCTAAAAGTTTTATAGTGTCTAGCCTTATATTTAGGTCTTTAATCCATTTTGAGTTTATTTTCGTGTATAGGGTTACGGAGTGTTCTAATTTCATTCTTTCACATGTAGCTGTCCAGTTTTCCCAGTACCACTTATAGAAGAGGCTGTCTTTTCTCCATTGTATATTCTGGTCTCCTTAGTCATAGATTAGGTGACCACAGGTGCGTGGGTTTATCTCTGGGCTTTCAATCCTGCTCCATTGATCTATATCTCTGTTTTTGTGCCAGTACCATATTGTCTTGATTACTGTAGCCCTGTAGTATAGTCAGAAGTCAGGGAGTCTGATTCGTCCAGCTCCATTTTTTTCCCTCAAGATTGCTTTTGCTTATTATGAATCACAATATCACAGAAGTTAACGTAATTATTCCCATTTTACAGGTGAGACTGAGAACTCACTAAGATAACTTGTGCAGAATCACACAACTTTTAAAAGGCAGGACCACTGGTACACAGATCTTCAAGGCTTGAAAGAAGGCAAAACAGCATAATGGAAAGAAACAAAGCTTTGGAGGCAGATACGCGAGCTCAGTTCCTGCCTCCGTTCTAGCTGTAGGGCTTGTGTAACTTCCCTAAGCTTTCTCAGCTTCACTTTCCTCTTCTGTCAACTGAAATTGTTCTGGAGAAGAGTTTTGAGAATGAAATGAATTGGTATATACAAACTCCTGTCACACAGCACCAAGAAGCATCAGATTTCACCCCACCCCCTCCATCACCCCACCTTCTAGGCCCAGGCTCAGTCATCTTCCCATGACATCATGATGTTCCCTGCCCAGGATGGGAAATCAGGCAGGAATACAAATAAGTATGACAGAAGAGAGAAAGCAGTAAGTACTCTACAAGCAGACAAGCTTTGCGAGGATGACCAAGCAGGACTGCATGGAGACAGTGGTATTACATCTGGACCCGAAATGTTTTGTCAGATTTCAAGAGATGGAGAAAAGATGGGAGGATCCCAAGATTCCACATCTGGTAACTAGATAGGGCACAGGGTGGAGTGATGGATGTGTAAGTATTCTGCAGATGAAAGGGCGGCACAGTGTGTGAAATGGTGTTATTTAGGCCGTGCCTATGCACTAGGTTCTAGGTTAGCCCTGGGCCACTGTACTTGAGCTCATACTCCAGGCTGAGAGGCTGGACTGATCCCTCCCCCACTGAGCTCCCCACCACCATCTGATGGTCAGCAGGAGCCCAGGCCCCAGCTGGAGGGGCTGACAGTGGGGCAGCCTCAACAAGGCGGTCTCTCCTTCAGAAGGGATAGTGGGGCTGGGGGCTGGGGAATGCTGCAAGGGCAATGGGCAACCTTATTTCCACCCCCTGGAAAGCTGGCATGAGAGAAAAAGGTCCAATATCTTGCTTTCCACAACTCCGACCAGCTGGGATTCTATTTTTAACCAGTGCTGTCTTAGTTGACAGCTTGGAACGCCTTCTCCACCCTTTTCTTCCTTCCTCCTGCCTCTTGCAGCCCAGAGCCCTGTAGAAAGGATGGATGGGAGCAGCTCAGCATTGGTAAAGAGAAGACCACTCTCCCTTCTCACTACCCTTCACTCCATCCAGCCTTTGTCCAGCATAGTGGGTGGATTTTAGAGATATTATTGGCTGAGAAGCTAATGAGGCTTAAATTTCAGGGCTCCTCACTCCACAGGTCTCTTCCAAAGGCCCTGGTCAGTGTCCTAGCAATTTTGTATCTTTAATTTCATTTTTTTTTCTTAAAAAAGGGCACCCAGTTTTATAAGCTCCAGGCCCCACAGAACTTGGGTCTGCCCCTTGATGGGTACGGCGTCTCTCCCACCTCCAGCTCAGTGCCTACTTCAATAGGGTTATTTCTGTCTTGGTCCAATTTATTGTATTACCTTGAGCAGCTTTCTTTCTTGTTCTGGGTCTCAGTTTCCCCAACTATTACAAGATGAAGTGTCAAGGAGCCCTCTCCCAGCATACCATGCCTCTGTTTATTTATGTATGTCCCCTTGGTGAGGTCATCTGTTCTTCCTGTTTGTCATTATGTGTGTGGAGGGGTGGTATTGCTGTCTCCGTCCCTCTCTGGGGCTGGATCAGTCTTATAGTCAAGAGGGAGGCTGGGCTCTGGGACTCCTATTCAGGTCCAGGCCCCTGTCTCCCTACGCTACCTCTCCTCCTTGCTGCTGGCCAGTAAGGGTGTTTCCATGGGGAAGAGTGCATTAAAAAGTCCCTACTCTTTAATTAATTCTGTATACCTGTCATGTTCTGACCCATGGTGTTTCAAATACACATTGAATAAACTGAGTCTTATCATACACTGCTTCCTCTTTTCATTAAAATTTTAATAAGCATCTATTAATACAGCACCTTAACAATGGTACCACTTTAGGACAATGTGCTCAGGAATCATTATGTGTCATGGATGTCCCACCTCCCAGCCCCACCTCCATTCCCAGCTATTGCATACGACTGTGGTGTGAGGCGGGTCCAGGTTGACCACTCGGAGAGAATTTACACAGCCTCATCTAGACTCAGACCACGGGCTTTTTGGCAGGGGGTCATGCACAGGAGTGAACAGCAGGGGGAGGGACCTGACGGAGAGGACTCTACAAAATCCTGTGCCTCCACGCATGCCCCAAAAAAGTCCAAAAAGGAAATTAAGGGGGAAGCCAAGTCATTTATTATTTCTTGAAAAAGTTGGGTAAGGGAGGAGGGGAAGGCCTATAGTATTTAACTGGAAAGGAATGAGAGGACTTTTCAGTGCAAAACAGCTTGTTGGTCTGGGAAGTGTGAGATCAGACAGGTTGGTGTTTGCAGCACTGATTGGGGAAGGGCACGGTGAGGTCAAACTGGGGACAGCCTGGAGCATCTCAGGAGTCATTCCTGTGCCAGGCTCCAGAGCCCTAAAAGATTCAGTGCCATTACTATATGTGTAAGAGGCAAGTCAGCCCCTGTCAGAGTTTCCACAGTGTAGAGATAGTCCACAGCTAGGGACGCTGTGTCTGTATGTCCAAGGTCAGTGCCATGTCTCTGTGTGCCAGGCTCAGTCCCACATCAAGTGCCTTCTTTCCTGTGTGGGGTAAGCCACCTTTTCCTGTGCGTTGGGGTTAGTCAGTCTCTTGTGTCCGTTGGTCTGCGTCTTTCATGTGTCTGGATGGGGCCAGTCCGTCTGTCCCGCCTCAGCTCCCACTCCCGCTCCACCCCTCAGCCAGGTCCCAGCGTGCTGATGGTGGTGTAGCTCAGTCTGGACAGTGAGGCGATGGAGGGGGTGGGAGGATCCTCGTCCGGTAGAGGTCTGGGGCGAGCTCGCGGAGGCCGAGGACAGCAGCGGGCACAGGTGTCGAGGCAGGCCTGGCGAAAGCGGCGGTGCATGAAGCAGTAGACCAGGGGGTTGACACAGGCAGAGGCGTAGCTTAGCAAGTGGATGAAGGAGATGGGCGCACCCGAAAGGGTGCGATGTGCACCGGGGCCGTCGAAGGCGCGCCACGTGTTGGCGCTGTACACTGGCAACCAACACAGGAAAAAAAGCACAACGATCACCAGTAACATCCGCACCACGCGCTTCTTAGCTAACAGCTTGGCTTGGGCCGGCCGGGTGCAGGATCCTGGCCCAGGCGTGGGTCCGGTCAGCGCGGACAGCTCCAGTACAGGCCGGGAGCGCGGAAGCTGCACGTAACAGCCATCGCCGTCCTCGCCAGCCAGCCGGGTCTCCGACCCGCAACGCCCGTTCGGGTGGGCAGGACCTGAGCACAGACGGTGGGCGGTCAGAACCGAAGGCTGAATTCTCCAAATCCCCATTGGTCTCCCCCCAACCCCCCCATTTCCAGTCTCTCTTCCTACTCACACACCTTTCCGCCCCACCCACTTTATGTCCCGCCTCTTCCCAAAGTCCCGCCCCTCCTGGATTTCACCCACCTCGTCCGGTCCCACCGGGCAGTCCTCCTTGACTTCCGACCCGGCTCTGGCTCTCGCTGTCACTGTCACCGTCAAAGCGAAGCCCTAAGTAGAGCTCGCGGGAGATAAGCCCGTAGGCCACCGCCATAACCACCCCCGGCACGAAAAACAAGAGCAGAAGCAGCAGTACCGACCTAGAGACAGAGCACAGACCAATCGCGCGGATCTCTGTCCAGCTATAATCACAGATGGAGGAAGACGCAAGGGTTGATGTTTCTAGGGCTGGTGACCAGGCCCCAGAGGTAGAAGTAGGATTTGGGTATGCGGCCGGGAAGGGTTAGAGAACTGGGGAGAAGCCCCAATGGGAATCCCAGGATGGTGGGAAAGGCAATTGTAGTGATAATTGTTAGAGCAGCTGGAGGGAGATTCTGGGTAATGCTCGTGAGTATCTGATGGAGATGGAGAAGGGAATTCCCAGGAATGGGTTATAGGGACCCTCACCAGGTTTGGCGAACTCGCGCACTGGGCCACCGATGCATGCATTGCAGCACACGAGGTCCCGCTGGCTGCACGGCAGTGTACACCGGGTAGGGCACCATGAGCAGTCCGGACAGCATCCACGTGGCTACGATCACTCGAGCCGCGTGTGAGCGCGTCTGCCACACACGCGCCTGCAGTGGTCGGCAGATGGCGCTGTACCGCTCCAGGGCGATGGCCACGAGGCTTAGCGTGGACACGCTCACAGACACGCCTAGCAAGGGAAGACGAAGGGGTCACCTAGGAAACTTGTACTGCACACTCACCAGTGTGATTTCCATACCCGCTGACGGAGAAAGACCCCCTACATCCGGCAAGGACTTTAGAAGAGGAGAGGGGTAAGGGAGACCGGTCGGTTGTTCACCTACCCATGAAGTAGGAAACCGCCTTGCAGACGACTGTGCCAAAGATAAATGTGCCCATGAGATTGGGCAGGAGGGTGAAGGGCATGCAAGCCACGGCCAGAAGGAGGTCGCTGACTGCCAGGGAGAGCAGGAAGGCGTTGGTGACGGTCCTCAGACGGCGGCTGAGTCCCAGGACCACGATGATGAGCACATTTCCTCCGACACTCATCAGAAAGATCACAGCGTAGAGGGTGACCCTAATGGCCAGCTCCAATTCTGGGTGGGAAAAAGGGGAGGTGGCAGCGGGAGTCCTGGCCCCCACTCAGCCCGGCTCTCCAATTTCACTTATCCCCAGTCCTCCAACCCCCACTACCCAGCCAGATCCCCTGCTTTCCAAATCCCTGCCCCCGCCCCCAACCCCGAAGACCCGCTCAGCAAATGGTGAACTTGAATCCTTTACCCTCTAACCCCTAGAGGCCTAGTTAAAGTGGCCTAACTCTACTCTTCCTTAAGAAAGCCTGTCCCTTCTCAAGCTTTGTTCCAAATCCTTCCTTCTCTTTGCAGCCAAACTTCTCGAAAAGATTATTTCCATCTTTTCATTCACCCCTCAATCTGTTACAACCCAGTGACCTGTTCCCCCATTACTGTTTGCACACTTCTCAAGGTTACTGAGCTTTAACTGCTAAATCCAAAGGTCTCTTCTCAGCTTATTCTACCTGACCTCCCGGCAGCATTCGACCCAGTTGACCACCCACTATCTTTTGAAACGCAGGTCCGAGCATGTCTCTATTGTCTTAAAAAAACAACGACAACAAAACAAACAAACAAAAAGACCTTCAGCTACTCTCACCTGTCTGCAACCCTTTAGCTTGTCATCCAGATTCTCCCAGAACTGCCCTCTTCCTCCTCCCACTTCCTCCCTGCAATGCACCCAACTTAAGGCACCGGATGACTCAGTTTCTGGAAGGCAACGTGTGCACCCATGATTCTCTCCTTTGCTCATGTCGGTTTCTCAGCCTAAAATGCTCTTTCACTGCCCCCCCCCCCGACTATTAATACCTCCCCCCGATTAATGACTTTCAATAACAAACTTGTTATCTGTTATCTGGTAAATTCCTATTCACCATTGTCTTTCAAGACTCAGACAGACTGCCCCCTCCTCTGTTAGGCCTTTCTGGACACCTTATTTGGAGCTAATCTCCCCTTCCTCTGACCATGCATGTTCCCTTCACATCTGTTAGGACCGTTTTTACTTTCCACCTTATATTTTAATTATCTATAAACATTCATTCTCACTCCACAAGCATTTACAGAGGACTCCCTTTATACCAGGCCCTGGGGACAGAGGACATGGCAAATGCCCTGTGAGCTCTCATCTGAGAGCTCACAGTCTAGAGGGAAACTCAGATGTATAAACAGATAATTGTCACATGGTGTGGTAAGGAGCGAGGTTGAGGAATACACAGAGTGCTCTGGGAGCTCACGGGAGGGACATGTAGTGTTGCTGGGCTAGACAAAGGGCTGACCCCATTCATTTTTGTCATTGCCTATTGGGAGAAGGATTCATCATTGGGCTTCCATATCACAGCCAAGCAAACCCAGACAAAATTGAATAGAATTAAATTAAACTGGACCCAGTCACCCATGACCTCAGCATGAGGGAGACTGGAGCTTGGAGGGAGAGAGGGCAGGGACAGAGCCTGCCAAGTTGGGGGAAGGGAAGGGCCCAGAGCTGCAGGGCCCTTTTTCATAGCCCCATACCTTGGCTGACTTTGGCCAGAGCTCCCAAATTAAACTGTTTTCTCATAACAATAGTTTGTACTTATTCAGAAGTTGTTGTAGACTTCGAGTAAGTGCTACTTACAAGAGATCCCCTAACTGAACTCAGCAGCGATACTACTTGTTCAGAGCACCCAGTAAGTTAGGAGCCGGTTCAGAATAGAAGCCAGTCTCTAGATCCCTAAAATGCTTTGCCTTCTATCGCTTCCTCCCTTCTCTGTCATTCATGATGCTGTCCCCCTCTATACTCTACCATGGCATTTCTCACTGTATTATTCTGTTCATTTTCTATCTCCACCACTAGACTATGAGCTCTTGAGCACAAGGGCGATGCCCACCATGTTCTCCAGCATGTCCCTAGCATTTGGCATAACGTCCCCTGCACAGGAGCTGTTAACACCTGCTTGCAGATGAATCTTAAACGGATCTCTGTTACTCCCCACATCAATGCACCTGCTCTGTCCCTCCTCACCCATCTTTCACCTCTGTGCTTCTAAGGCTCCAGCATGCGCTTTCCTTGCTGCCTCTGTCTCTTTAGAGACCCATGTTGGAGGATTTTGTTGGTGGAGGGGAGGGGGCAAATGACAGGCTGTGATTTTGGATGTGTTACTTTTACTATTATATACAAACCACCTGTGTCTCATTTAGAAGCTGGGCCCCTCTCTGCAGGGAAGGCTTATGGATGGTTTATGTGTGACAATTTGAGGTGTATGTGTGTGTGTGTAGGGGGAAATAAAGAACTTTGGGAGGGGGATCTCTGTCAGAGGTCCTTGGACCCAGAAGAATAGAGCAGGTGGTCTATCTTGTGCTCTATGTCTCCTCCCCATCTATTGCCCCTCTCCGCCTCTCTCCCCCTACCCCTTAATCTCTCTAGTTCTATCTTCTCTAACACTTCCTCCTCTGTCCTCTGAATGTTTCTCTTCAACTAGTTTTTTTTTTTTTGGCCGTGCCACGGGGCTTGAAGGATCTCAGTTCCCAACCAGGGATCGAACCCGGGCCCTGGCAGTGATGGCGCTGAGTCCTAACCACTGGACCACCGGGGAAGTCCCTCTCTTCAACTAGTTCTTGATTCAACAACCATACCTCAAGTTTGTACGGCACTCTAAACTGTGAAAAGCACATTTCTCATTCATTCATCTGGCTAATGGATCTCGTGTGTATCCTTGAACTTGGCTAATTGTGGTGTAGCTGAAAGATGGGGCTAGGCCCTCTATTATGAAGTTCCCAATCTGTGTGGGGACCTCTGAAAACTAGAGGACAAAGTCCCAGTAAAAATGACCAGCAACTGTACAATGCTTTGCTGTCTAACTGGGCACTTCCAGCTGTTACTTTATTTCCAGCCATCACCATCTCTCTAAGTCTTTGCTGTTGAACAGTTAGGAGATGTGAAAAGGCTAAGTAAAAGCAATCTTAGAGCTAGGGATCTTGGAAAAGGCAGGGAAGGATAAATAGTTAGAGCACAGGGGACTTTTAGGGCAGTGAAACTATTCTATATGGTACTGTAATGGTGCCTAAATGTCATTATACATTTCTGAAAACCCATAGAACATACAACACAAAGAGTGAACCCTGATGTAAACTATGGAATTTAGTTAATAATGTATCCATATTGGCTCATCAATTGTAACAAATGTGCTACACTAATGCAGGATGTTAAGAACAGGGGAAACTCTGTGTGTGTGTGTGTATGCATCCGTGTATGTTTGTGTGGTGGCATATGAATGACCACAGTGGCTTCAGGGGTGGCAGAATGGGACATGCACCTCCTGGGGTCCAGCCACTAGTGCCTTGACAGTCTGTCTGTGGGCATCCTTCTGCTGGGGATGACAGGAGAGCAGAAATCAGACCAGGGGACTCAGAAGACTGGGACAGTTCAGTTCTGCTTCTGGGGTCTGAGGATCTGCATGTGTTCTGTCCAGATGATGGCAGAGAAATGTGGGTACAAAAATCCAGATGACGCGACATGAAACAAAAACAGGCTTTTCTAAGAAAGGGTCCCACAGAACACTGAAGCCGCTGATGCCTCAAATCCTGCCACTCACTGGTGTGTTGGATCTGGTCACCCATCCCTCAGGCATCAAAGTAGTACCCACGCCTCTGTGGTGAGCATGGATAGCATCTAGCTGATTGTGGGTAACAGCTGGGTGATGGGGACATCCGCATGTTAATGGATTCTAACGGAGGGGGCAGAAATAATATGCAGGGTGTGTATGTAGGTAAGATCAGAGTGAGCATTGGGTAATACTTTAGTCTTGGAGATGATATCTGGGTGGGTGAGAGTAACACATATTTCTGTAGGCAGTATCTGGAGAAGGGCAACAGCTACGTGTCTATAGGTAGCATCTGATTGAGTGTGGGCTGCCTGTAAGTTTAGGTAATATCTGAGTAAGTGTTATAACATTTGAATGAGCCAGGGTCTGCAGATAACATCTCAGTTTGTAAGTAACATCTTCAGGAAGCGTGGGTTACATTCAGAGGTCTGTATGTGAATAGAGGAATATCCAGCTGACGGTGATCATAGCTGACTGAGCAGAAGTAGTATGCAAGTATATGTGGGCAATATTTAAGTGTGTGAATATGAGATATTAACAGATTAAGATGTTAATCTTATTGAGTAAAATAACTGAGCGCCTGAGCGAACATAGGTAGTATTTGAGTCTTTGCGGGTAATATCTGAATATGTAAGAGTAATATCTATGACTTTATGGGTAATACCTGGAGAAGGGTTACTTAAGTGAGCATGGATAATATTTGATTGTACGTGGATAATAATAAAACAAAAGCGAGTGTGTTTGATGGGTGAGTAATATCTGAATGACAGCGGGCGATATTAAAGTGAGTGTGGGTGACATCTGCTTTTCTGTGGGTAGCATCTGAGTGAACATGGGTAACGTTCAAGTCTATGTGGATTATATCAGAATAATGTGAGTAACATCCATATTTCTATCGGTAACACTGGAGTGAGCCTGGGTAAGATGTGTCTGTCGGGGTAACAGCTGAGTGAGTGTGGCTAACAGAGTCTCTGTGGGTAGCTTCTGACTGCCAGATGTCACATCCAAATGTGTGTGGGCAGCAATGTCTAGATGACCTGTGCTCTGAATCACTTCACATTCTGCTTTCTCAAGGTCCCTTACTCTATTAGCTAGCCCTGCTATCTTCTGCACTTCAACCTTTCTCTCTCGGCCCATTTCCCCAAAACATTTTTAAAATGGCCTTATCTCTACAACACATACACACTCAAAAGACAAACTATGCATGAGTGAACGTGTGCACTCACACACACGCACACGCACACACACCCTTCCTCAACCCCATGTTATTTCTAGCACTATTCTGTTTTCTCTTTGTCTCTCTCTCTCTCCCTACCAAACTTCTGGAAAGTTTTATCTGCACACCTTAGTTCACTTCTTATAACCCCTCCCCCATGGCCCAAACTTCTACCAACTGTAGCCACCCCCTAACACCCACAGCTCCTCCTAATACTTCCTTGTTATTGAATCGGAAGGATGCTGTTATGACCTTATCTGACTTATATGGGCAGCATTTGACATCACTTCTCCCACTCTGCTTGAAACTTTCTTTTTTCCTTGCCTTCTTGTCTCTCTGATGGTCTCATCTAGATCTACCTCATGGACTCTCCTTCCTCTGCTTGGCTTTTAAAAATTGGTCTTCCCATGCAGATGGCCAAGAGACACATGAAAAGATGCTCAACATCACTAATTATTAGAGAAATGCAAATCAAAACTACAATGAGGTATCACCTCACACCTGTTAGAATGGGCATCATCAGAGAATCTACAAACAACAAATGCTGGAGAGGGTGTGGAGAAAAGGGAACCCTCTTGCGCTGTTGGTGGGAATGTAAATTGATACAGCCACTATGGAGAACAGTATAGAGGTTCCTTAAAAAACTAAAAATAGAACTAACCATATGACCCAGCAATCCCACTCCTGGGCATATACCCAGAGAAAACCATAATTCAAAAAGACACATGAACCCCAATGTTCATAGCAGCACTATTTACAATAGCCAGGACATGAAAGCAACCTAAATGCCCACTGACAGATGAGTGGATAAAGAAGATGTGGTACATATATACAATGGAATATTACTCAGCCATAAAAAGGAACAAAATTGGGTCATTTGTAGAGACGTGGATGGACCTAGAGACTGTCATACAGAGTGAAGTAAGTCAGAAAGAGAAAAACAAGTATCATATATCAACGTGGAATCTAGAAAAATGGTACAGATGAACCAGTTTGCAAGGCAGAAATAGAGACACAGATGTAGAGAACAAATGTATGGACATGAAAGGGGGAAAGCGGGGCTGGGTGGTGGTGGGATAACCTGGGAGATTGGGATTGACATATATATGCTAATATGTATAAAATAGATAACTAATAAGAACCTGCTGTATAAAAATAAATAGATAAATAATTTTTTAAAAAAAATTGGTCTTCCTCAGGGTCCTGTCCCAGGACCTTTTTTTTTTTTTTTCCCCATCTGACACAATCTCGGTATGATTTAATCTATTCTCATGGCTTCTGTTACCACCTCTAGACAAACACCTTTCAAGTTTGTATTTCTAGCTCATACCTCTCCCCTATGTTCCAGACCCTTGGATTCAACAGCTGACTGGGTAACTCCACCTGGATATTTTACCAGCATTTAAACTCAGTGGATTCCAAATTGAATGTATAATCTCCTTCAAACCTGTTTCTGTTCCTCTGTTATCCTCATTATACAGCACCAACATCCATCCAATTGTCTAAGCCAGAAACCTAGATGTCATCCCTTGACCTCTTCCTCCCTCTCCATTTCTAATAAATCATCAAGTTCTGTTGATTTCACTTCCAGAATTGCCTGTCAAATCCACCCAATTCTCTCCATTCCCATTGCCAGTAGCTTAGTCTACGCCAGCATCATCTTTCATCAGGACCAATGTAATATAATAGCCTTCTAAAGGATGCTCCTCTCTCCATTGGATTGTCCTCCAAGCCACCCTCTTTAATACAGAACTAATCCTGGCAGTACTACTGAACCTTTCAGTAATTCCCATTGCCCTCAGGATGAAATCCATACTCCTTAGACAAGGTCCATAAGGCTCTCTGGAAACGCTTTAGGCTGGTCTTCATCTTGAGTGTTCATTATTCCTCTCTTATGGCACATGTCTCAGGCACACAGAAACTATGACACACTGAACAAAAGGGCCGTGGACTTAAACTCTGGCTGTTTACACATACTGGTCCTCTGCTCGAGATGCTTTTTGCTTTTTCTGCCCCTTCACTTGGCTGGCTTTCCCTCAGCTTTTTCATTTTTATTTCAATTTAGCCTTCACCTCCTCAGGAGGCCAACTCTGATTCCTAAGCCTAGGCTAGGCTAGATAGAGGTGCTCCTCTTCTGTGTTCCCACATCCCTCTCAAGGCACTTCCCACTCTGTACGGCAATTCTCTGCTTGCTTGTCCTTCTCCCCCACTGAACCGTGAGCTCCATGAAGTAGGAGCTGTGTCGGTTTTGTTCTACTCCTGTCCTTAGTGCTTAGCACAATCTCTGGCTCCATAAATATTTGTTGAGTGAAAGAATCTGGGTGTAACAAGGAGAGAGTGTGTGACAACTGGTCTGAGAATGTATGCAACATTTTATGGGGGTAAATAAATACTTGAATTGCAATTTATTCCCATTTTCCCTTCTAAAGCTTGGAATAATTTCCTTCTGCTTAACACTGTTCCCTCTCCTGGAATCCCACTTCTTCCTTTTCTGCCTACTGAACTCCAACTTCAAGGTTCCCTCTGTGAAGTTTTCAGACCCCATCTCCTTCGGGTGCCCAGAGTTTGGTCCCTCTTGTGGGAATTCCAATGCTGACTGTGATTTTCCCATTGGTTTTTGTCTCCCGTTTGCACTGGAGATGACAGTCCAGACTGGGTCTAGTTCAGCCCTGTGTACCCGGCACCTAGCCCAGAGACTATAATAGCAGGTGTCCAGTAACCATCTAAGGAAAGAAAAGGTATAGGAAGGGGGAAAATAAGGCTTGAGCTGGGTCGTTGAGAAAATGTGGATGTTGGCTGATGGGAGGAATAAAAGTCACTGTGGGGACTGGGTGAGTGGAAGCAGTCTGGTGGTGAGGGGGAGAAGGTGGCACAAAGGGGTGGGATGATGAATGGGGCAGCCAGGCTCTAGGAGGCTGAAACCTAAGGAGAGGCAGGTTGGAGAGGGGCTTGGAAGGGACCTGGAGACATTACTTGGAGACAGCAAAAGAGGGAGGGTAAAGACCCTTGAGAAAAACTCCAACTTGGGAGGCAAGGGGATCTGAGGAAATGGAGACAGGCAGCTCTAGAGAGCAGCCCCTCAGTCCAATGTCCAGCCTAATTCAGGTTAGAGGACCTCTTTTGGGAAGGCAGGGGGTTGGGTGGGGGACACAGGAAATTATAACGCTAACTTCCCATTCGGGTCTTCCGAGTGCCCCTTCCCCAACCAGGCCCCTTCTTTCCCCCAATCTTGCCTTCCTTCCTTTCTTTCCTTCTCCACTGTGGCTCGGTGAACTGGCTGCAAAAGGAAAGGAGAGACCTGGGAGGATTGGCCAGAGGAGGTCCCTGTGTTCCCACCGTCTCTGTCTAGGAGGCGGCTGTGTGTTGGGGGTGACCAGGAGCTCTGGGGGTGGTCAGGGGACCAGGGTGTGAAGGTGCTCTGACCTGGTAGTGTGAAGCTGCAATGGAGTCTTATGAGCTGTGGGGGACACATGCGTCGGGGGAGCTGTTTGGGGACAGACGGAGTACTATGAAGGGACAGCGTGGGCGTTTGGGGAAGCAGTGGGGGCCTCTGTGAGTGTTGCGGGGTGCAGTGAGAAGGAGCTCGTGGACGGGGCTCAGGGAGGCACCCACCTCGTGTCCCGGCTCCGCGGATGCGCGGGGGCTCACAGCTGAGGTTGCCGGTGCCGCTGCCGTTGAGGAGGGGGCCCCCCGGGCGGCACAGGGAAGCCGCCGGCCCGGGTCCGTATCCCGGCACGCTCCGGTTCGGCTTCAGCAGCTCCATGGCCCCGGCCCATCCGCCGCCCCCTGCGCTCGGCCGGGCCGGCTCCCCGCAGCGGCTCCACCTGCTCCAGCGGAGATTCCGACTGGGGCTCCCGCCCCGCCTGGTTCCCGCCCCCAGCCCCGGCCCCCGCCCCTCCGCTCCTCCTCTCCTCGCCCCGCCTCGGCTCGCCTCCCTCCCAGGCTCGGGTCCGCCTCGGTCCTGCCAGGTGACTCTCCGCCCCCCTCTCCTGCTCCGGACTTACTCGTCCTCCCACCCCCGACCCCCACGACTGTCCTCGCCCCCTCCCTAGATCTCTCCGGTCTTCTCTTAGAGATTTCCTTCCCGCCCACTCCCCTTCGCCAGCGTCCCGGTTCCGGAGAATTCTCGGGAGCCTCCGTGTGTGTGTGTGTGTGTGTGTGTGTGTGTGTGTGTGTGTGTGTGTG